CCATCCATCCATCCATCCATCCATCCATCCATCCATACATCCATCCAACTGTTCAGCCAGCCATTCATCTATCCATTCATTTACTCAACTCTTCATCCATCCTCGCAGATGTCTGTCAACACACCCACCCTTCCTGTCATGGTAACTACCCCCTCCCCCCATAACGTATCATCTCCCAGTGGAGCCTTGCCCCAGGGACCCTGAGGCCAGGTCTCTCCCTGCTCCTCCCCCAGCCCGTCATCTCTCACGTCAGTGGCCATCAGCTCCTCGGAGTCATCAATAGAAGCAACAGTCACTTCTCCTTGGGAGACGAAGATGTAGTCATACGGGTTGTTTGTGATCAGCATCATGTCTGCTCCAGGTGATTCGGGGGTTGGGGGGAAGGAAGGAAGGAAGGTTGGTTGGTTAATGGCTGAATTGATTTCCAGGATTTCCTCAGAGCCCATAGTGGGCCCTGATCCTGGACTCAGAGAAGAGCAACTTGCTATGGGGCATCTTTCCCACTGCTGCCCCCTCACTGACTCACCAAGAAGTTCTGGCTTCTGGTTGGACAGGATCTGGTAGAAGATGTGATAGTTCCTCTCCGCCTTGAGCTGGCAGATGACCCGGGATTTCTCCAGGAGATCTGATAGATAGATAGATAGATAGATAGATAGATAGATAGATGGGGTGGATGGGGATAGATAGATAGATAGATAGATAGATGGGTGGATGGGTGGATGGGGATAGATAGATAGCTAGATAGATAGATGGGGTGTGTGGGGATAGATAGATAGATAGATAGATGGGGTGTGTGGGGATAGATAGATAGATAGATAGATGTGGATGGAGAGACAGACAGAGCTGAGAACGTTGACACTCATCTCACTCACAGGTCTCGATATCAGCTGAAGCCAACTTTCCTGTCGCCCCAAAGTGGATCCGTATGAATTTACCCTAGAGGAAGAGAATGTGACGGGTATGTGGGGTGTGTCCAGTGGGGGAGGGGGGCTGATCCATCAAGGGCAGCCCCACAGATGCCTCCTAACCCAGGCACAGCCCCACAGACCCTCGTCCCTGTTGTCACCAGGGCTGGAGCATCCATGGGAAAATATTAGTGGGTGCTCAGCACCCACGGGCGACCCTGCCGATCAGCTCCTATCCCTCCCAGTGTCTCCCACCCACCGCGATCAGCTGTTCAGGGCCACGCAGAAGGTGCTGGGGGGCGGGGGAGGAGCGGGAGATGGGCGTGCTGGGGGGATGGGGCAGAAGAGGTGGGAAGAGGCAAGGTGGGGTGGGGCTTTGGGGGCAGGGTGAAGTGGGGGTGGAGCCTGGGGCGGAGCGGGGTTGAGCACCTCTGGGGAAAGGAGGAAGCCGACGCCTGTGATCCCAACCCCACACAGACACCTCAGCCATCCAGCCTCCCTCTCCACCGGTACAGTCCCTGGACACACCCACAGAAACACCCCAGACATCTCACCCCCCGCCCCACCCCGGACACTCACGAATCGGGACGAATTGTCGTTCCGCAAGGTCTTGGCGTTGCCGAAGGCCTCCAGGGCGGGGTTGGCCTGGATGATTTGATCCTCCAGGGTCCCCTGGGACAAAACAGAAGGGGGAGGTTAGAACTGGCTGCAGATCCTCCCCACAACCTCCCCAGCCCACCCCCTGTGGGGCACTGTCATGGGGAAGCTTGCAGCACTGGGGGTACTGAGCTCACAGCGTGGGGGGGGTCTGCGGCGGGGTAGCATCAGGGTGGAGGTCTCACCTTGTTGGCGCTGGTTCCTTCTTTCTTGCGGTCGCTGATGGCCGCGATGCTGGCGAAGTACTGGATGACCCGCTTGGTGTTCACCGTCTTCCCTGCGCCGGATTCTCCGCTGGGCAGAGAGAAGGAGGCGCGTGAGATGGGGGGTGGCACAGGGGGGCAGGAAGCAGCTGGGCCCCCCAGGGGGACAGTGGGTGGGGTGGGTGGGGGGATGATAGGTACTCACGTGATGAGGATGGACTGGTTTTCTCGGTCTGGAAGAGAGAAGAGGGGTTAGTGGGCAGCAGTGGGGGAGTAGAGGGGTGACGGGGGGTGTGAGGGACATATGGGGTGGCTGGGATTGGAGGGAGGGGGAATGGGTGGGAGGGAGCCAGGACAAGGAGTGGGTAGGGCAGGAGGGGGCGTTAGGTCTGGGAGGGTGGATGAGGAAGGGGTACGGGACAAGGAGGGTGTGAGGGGACGACTGGAGTGGGAGGGAGGTGGGTTGAATTGGGGGGTCAGTTAGGGAGTAGGAAGGATGAGAGGGGGGTGCCCGGGTGTGTGGGTCGGGACAGTGACGTCAGGGACGGGGTGGTGTGTCGGGGAGATGCACCTCTCAGCTTTTGCTGGTAGGTGTTTTTGGCGATGCAGAAGGTATGTGTGTGTTGGGGGGTTGGGGCTATGGTTATGGCTGGGGTATAGTTAAGGTTATGGTTATGGCTGAGGTATAGTTAAGGTTAGGGTTATATTTATGGTTATGGTAAGGGGTATGTGACGTAGTGGGGATTTTCCCTTGTTATGTTGTATGTGAGCCTATGTGAGTCTTACTGTTTTGCATTAACCATAGAATCATAGAATACCAGGGTGGAAGGGACCCTAGGAGATCATCTAGTCCCACCCCCTGCTCAAAGCAGGACCAATCCCCAACTACATCAGTAAATTAATGCTGTGTGTGCCTCAGTTTCCATGTGCATTGCACCAATGTCTAGGTGGTGGCAATAGGGGTGTGTGACTTTTGCGGGGTTGCTCCAGCTGCCTGCAGGGATGCTATGGCCGCCCCTAACCTGAGACCCAGAAGGGGGATGGGACCAGGTGACTCTTGGCCCCGAAGCGAGACAAAGGCCGGAGGAGGAGCAACGGGCAGGGCAGCGGCCAGGCGGCTGGAAGCGAGTCAGTCTCGGCTGGCTTGGGGCGCAGGGGGAGGACGAGAGCCCTGGCTCTGGGCTCCCCTCCCTCCAAGATGGACTTGGCTGAAAGTCAGTGATTTCTGTGCTAACAAGCTCTGTTCTGTGCTGTGTTCGTGTCGACTGATAAACCTTCTGTGTTACGCTGGCTGAGAGTCACATCTGACTGCGGAGTCGGGGGGCAGGGCCCTCTGGCCCCCACAGGAGCCCCACCTGGCCAGACTCGCTGCGGGAAGCGCATGGTGGGGCAGGGGATGCTGGATGCTCCGGGGTCAGACCCAGGAAGGTGGAAGCTGTGGAAGCTTCTTGCCCTGGAGACAGTCTGCTCCAAGAGAGGAGGCTCCCCCCGAGTCCTGCCTGGCTTCATAGGGAGCAGTTCCAGAGCATCGCCCGGTGACTCCGGGACAATTGGTGGCAGAGGTGGGATAAACTGCACCCCGGGGCCAGAGCATCCTGCAGTAAGTGACTGGGGAGCAGTAAAACGAAGGGGGATCAGTGAGAGACGGGAATGCTGGAGACTCCAAGAGGTGCAGTTCCAGGAGGCGGAGGAGCCTACGGTTTAACCCCGAGAGAGAGTGGCACCCCAAGAAGGGCTGTCACACCGAAGGGTTCCTCCCAGGGATCATGGGGAGCGGAGAGAGCACAGCCTGTGAGTCCATGACCACTTGGGAACAGGGTGGAGACGGCCTATAACCGTCTCCTTAAGAAGGACCTTGTAGAGCTGTGCAGAGAGAGAGACGGCTGCCCACTGGAAAGCTCACAGCTGACTGCTCAGTTGGAAGAGGAGGATCACTCTAAGGAGCCGGTTCCTGACCCAGCTGAGGTGCGAGAGAGGCTGGGAACAGCCAGGTGTCCCGGAGACCTGTGTCCCCAACCAGCCGGGGGTCTCCACCGGGTTCCCCGTCAGTGGATCTGGGACGGTTGGAATTGGAGCTGAGATCGAAGGAGTCAGAGGACCATGAGAGACAGCGAAGGCATGAAGCAGAACTGCAGGAGAGACAGAGGGAGCGGGAACTGGCGATGGCTGAGCTGAGAGGCAGAAGGACCTGCCCAGGGGTGAGTGGGGATGGACACCAGGCTGCCACTTCCACAGGGAACCTCGACACTAAATTGCTGCCCCAGGTTCAGGAGGGGGGAGATGTAGATGCCTGTCTCGTGGCCTTTGGGGAGGCTGGCAATTGGAACCAGGCTGGGCCTGCAGAAAGGCTCCGGTGTCTAGCCCCCTTCCTGGGTCCCAAGGCCATAGAGCTGTTTAGCCAGATGGGCCGGGTGGCTGACTGGCTTCCACTCCTGGCCCGAGCATATATGTCTGCGTGGAGTCTCCTGGGCTCAGGCCCCTCGGACCCCCAGTGGGAGCGGAAGGTGGTGGTCAATGGGGAGACGTTCCTGGGGTGGCGAGACCCTGGGACAGAAAGAACTGTTGTCAGGCCCTGGGTGGTGCAGCCGCAGATGCTGAGGGGCTGTGTGACCTGGGTGAAGGTCCTCGGGATGAAGCCCCTCACCCTGCCTATGGCCCGGATCCCTGTGCAGACCCAGGAGGGGTCAGGCTGGCTGGTCGTTGGGGTTCTCCAGGATATCGGCTGTGAGGTCCTGTTCGGGGATGACTGTGTCTCTTTGGGGCAGGATCCAGGCCCTGCTCCTGTAACAGCTGAGGGTTTGAATTTGAATCCAGGGAACCAATCGGCTGAGACTGAAGAGGTCAGTGAAAATGCAAATGACCTGGCTGGCAGGGGGAGGAGCTGCTGGGCTCAGGATACCTGCCTGTCTGTCACCAGAGCCCTGGGGCTCGTTGCCCCCTTGCACACGGGGAGGTGGCTCACGCTGGCTCTGATGCAGTGAGCAAAGCCGCGGGCTCGCTGCCTGCCCTCACTGGCCCAGCAGGGGCAGCGCTGAGTCCAGGGGGTTCGGAGACCCCAGCTGAGTGTGGGGAACCACAGCCGGGTGGGACAGCTGCCAAGCAGGGCTGCCTTGTCCAGAGGGGCAAATGGCCTGAAACAAGGGGAAAGAGCCTTGGGACACCTGCCTGTCCTAGAGGAGCCTGTTCAGTAGGTGGCCCTGGGCTTGGTGAGGGACGGATGGGAGGGGGACGCCTCCCCCGATGGAGAATCAGTGGTGGAGCATGTGCTGACTTTCCGGGAAAAGCTCGCTGAGCTCATGGGTCCGGCCAGGGAGAACCTAGCCAGGGCCCAAGGGAGGCAGAGGGTCTGGGACGACCGCTCAGCCTATGGCACCGGTGACCAGGTGAGGGTCTCGTCCCGGTGAGGAAGAATAAGCCGGAAGCTGCCTGGGACGGGCCCTTCAAGGTCATCCAGCAGCTGAATGAGGAGAACAAAGTGGTGGAACTGCCCAACCGGGCTCACAGCCACTGAGGGGACCAGGTCAACGTGATAGATACACACTGTGACAGGGAGCTGGTACTGGCCATGTGTGGCCAGTGGGAGAAGGGGGAAGATCCCCTTGTGGGTCTCGAGCCGGACCATTGCTGGAATCAATTCCCGTCTCTGACCAGCTCACCCCTGCCCAGCAGGCAGAGATCAGAGAGATGCTGCATTCCTACCAACAGCTGTTCTCCAACCGGCCTGGGCTCACTAACCGAGCTGTCCACTGGGTGGAGACGGGAGCCGGCCCGCCCATCAGGTGTTCCCCATTCAGAGTAACTGGGAACACAGCCCAGGCCCTGGAGGGAGAGGTCAGAGACATGCTGACTTTAGGGGTGATCCAGCCATCCACCAGCCCTGGGGCCTCTCCCGAGGTGCTGGTCCCCAGGAAAGATGGGTCGATCTGAGTCTGTGTGGCCTATCGGCAGGCCGGCCCCAGGCACCAGCGGAGGAAGCATGTGCCTGGGGTGGCACATGCTAAGGGGCGGCACAGTCTGGGCGGCTTTTTTGTTTTTGCTTGAGGCGGCAAAAATGGTAGAGCCGGCCCTGCCTATCGGAAGCTCAAAGCCATCACCATGTCTGGTGCCTGCCCATACCTAGGCCTGACGAGCTCCTAGATGAGTTGGGGGGCGGACTCGGTATCCCGTGACCACGGATCTCACCAAAGGCTACTGGCAGGTGCCTTTGGATCCAGATGCCAGGTTGAAACCTGCTTTTGTCACCCCTCTGGGGCTGTACAAGTCCCTGGTCCAACCGTTCTGGCTCAAGGAGGCGCCGGTCACCTACCAGAGCCAGGTAGATCAGTTACTGGGGGGGGATGGAGACTTTTACCCTAACGTACATTGATGATATTTGTGCCATTAGCCAGACCTGGGAGGACCATGTGTCCCAGGTGAAGAGGGGGCTGAGTCGCCTCCAGGATGCAGGGCTGGCTGTAAAAGTTGGGACGTGCAAGGGGGGGATGGCAGAGGTGTCGTACCTGGGCCACAAGGTGGGGAGCGGCTGCCTAAAGCCAGAGCCGGCCAATGTGGGGGTGATCAGAGACTGGGCTGCTCCCCAGACTAGGAAACAGGCCAGGCCTTTATTGGGATGGCGGGGCACTACCGGAGGTTTGTGCCCCACTTTAGCTCTGTGTCAGCTCCCATCACTGAGCTATGCAGGAAGGAGAAGCCAGACAAGCTGGTCTGGACCGGGCAGTGCCAGAGGGCTCTCTGCACGCTGAAGGTGGATCTGGTCAAGGGCCCGGTGTTGGGAAACCCAGACTTTGACAAGCCCTTTATGGTGTTCACCGATGCCCCAGACACAGGGCTGGGCGCGGTGCTGACGCAGGCCAATGCAAAGGGGGAGAAACACCCCGTCATGTACCTGAGGAGGAAGCTGCTGCCCCGGGAGCAGGGCTCTGCGGCCATAGAGAAGGAATGCCTGGCCATGGTGTGGGCTCTAAAAAGGCTGCAGCCGGATCTATTTGGGCAGTGCTTCACTGTGTACCTGGACCACTCGCCCTGCCGTGGCTGCACCCGATGAGAGGGGCCAACGCCAAGTCCCTGAGGTGCAGTCTGTCTCCCAGGATTATGAGATGGAGGTGGTCCACGTTAAGGGGAGTGCAAATGTTATGGCCGATGCTTTGTCCCGGAGATGGGGGCCTGAACTTCCCCAGGTCACTGGCTAAACTGACCCTGCTCAGTTCAGTCTCGAAGGGGGGAGAGATGTGACTAAGTGGGGATTTTCCCTGGTTATGTTGTATGTGAGCCTATGTGAGTCTTACTGTTTGCATGAATGCTGTGGGTGCCTCAGTTTCCCTGTGCATTGCACCAATGTCTAGGTGGTGGCAATAGGGGTGTGTGACTTTTGCGGGGTTGCTCCAGCTGCCTGCAGGGATGCTATGGCCGCCCCTAACCTGAGACCCAGGAGGGGGATGGGACCAGGTGACTCTTGGCCCCGAAGCGAGACAAAGGCCGGAGGAGGAGCAACGGGCAGGGCAGGGGCCAGGCGGCTGGAAGCGAGTCACTCTCGGCTGGCTTGGGGCGCAGGGGGAGGCAGAGCCCTGGCTCTGGGCTCCCCTCCCCCCAAGATGGACTTGGCTGAAAGTCAGTGATTTCTGTGCTAACAAGCTCTGTTCTGTGCTGTGTTCCTGTCGACTGATAAACCTTCTGTGTTACGCTGGCTGAGAGTCACGTCTGACTGCGGAGTCAGGGGGCAGGGCCCTCTGGCCCCCCCAGGAGCCCGCCCGGGCGGACTCGCTGCGGGAAGCGCATGGTGGGGCAGAGGATGCTGGATGCTCCGGGGTCAGACCCAGGAAGGTGGAAGCTGTGGAAGCTTCTTGCCCTGGAGACAGTCTGCTCCGAGAGAGGAGGCTCCCCCCGAGTCCTGCCTGGCTTCATAGGGAGCAGTTCCAGAGCATCGCCCGGGGACTCCGTGACAGGGTATAGTTAAGGATAGGGTTATGGCTCGGGTAGAGTTAAGGTTAAGGTTATATTTATGGTTATGGTTAGGGGTATAGTTAAGGATAGGGTTACAGCTGGGGTAAAGTTAAGGTTAGGGTTATATTTATGGTTACGGGTATAGTTAAGGATAGGGTTAGGTCCCTACCTGTCAGCATGTTCTGGTAGGCGCTGTCAGAGATGGAGAAGATGTGGGGTGGGGCTTCGCTTCTCTTCTTGCCCCTGTAAGCGGCCACCACCTCCGCATTATAGACCGGTAACCACTTGTAGGGATTGACCGTCACGCAGAACAGCCCCGAGTAGGTCTGGAGAGGGGGAACAGGACAGGGGGAAGGATGGAGACAGAGCGAGAGAGAAGAATCAGAGCAGCGAGGGAAGGCCCATGGTGAAGAGATTGAGAACCTACCCTAGAGTGAGTGAGAACTGACGGAGAGGGAGAGGATCGGTGCTATGCAGTGGCCCCCCTCCTCTGTTCTAGAACAGGAGACATCTTCCCTTCTTGATCTAGAATGGGAGACGATGCACCATCTTCTGTATAGAACTGGACATGATGCCCCTCCCCTGATCTAGAAGCAGAGATTCATCCATCTCCCCAATCTAGAATGGAGACAAGGCGCCTGCCCCATCTAGAATGGGATAAAACACCCCTTCCCTGATCTAGATCCAGAGACGCACCTGTCTCACCAATATAGAACTAGAGACAAGCCCCACCCACCAAGAATGGAAGAACATACCCCTTCCTTTATCTAGATTAGAAGACAATAACCCTCCCCTGATCTAGAACATGAGATGCCAGAAAGGAAGACAATGTCACATCCTTTGATCTAGAACAGGACTTGATAGATCGGGGAGGAATTATAACAGGAGACAATGCTCACTCTCTGATCTAGAATGGGGGCGATGGTCTCTTCTCTAATCTCGAACAGGGGATGACAGCACCAGACCCCCAATCTAACAAGGAACTGGCGACCACCTTGGTCTAGAACAGGGACAAGAACACCTCTCTCATTCTAGAACAGGAGGGAATTCCCCTGATGTAAAATGGCAGATGATGCCCACCCTGATCTAGAACAGCAGGCTATTCCCCCTGTTTTAGAAGGGAGATGATGCTCCCCCGATCTAGAAGTCAGCAACTCCCAGAGGGGCATAATGCAGGGTGGAAACCCCAGGAACTCCCCCACCCTATGGGTACCCCAGCAAGGTGTGTGTGGGGGAGCTAGGGGACTGCAGGGCCCTCCCCAGACTCACGTAGATCATCCACGCGGCGTATCGCTCCTTGAGGTTGTAGAGCACGGCCGGCTCGTGCAGGAACGTCAGCATGGCCATGTCCTCGATCTTGTCGAACTTTGGCGGGTTCTGCTGGTGGACGTCCGACTCCTTCACCGTCACCGTCTGGGCGGGAAGAGAGAGTCATGGGGGGTCAGGATGGGGGATGGTACTACCTCCACCCAACTGCACCCAGCCATCCTGCTGACCCCTCCACCCCCTCACCAGCTGTGGGGTCAGACCAGCACTCCGCATCTCTGTTTCTTCCAGCCTCCTCCCCTTATTTGTCCTTTAACCCCTAACCCCTGGTGCCCCACAGCCTGTCCTCCCCTCTAGCCCCTGACTACAGTTGCTAATATCAACCCCTCCTTGCCCCATCTTCCCCTTTGACCTCTGACCTCTCACCACCCCTACCCCTAACCTCCCCTTTGATCTCTGACCCCTCACAGTCCCTGCCCCTCCCCTTTGACCTCTGGCCCCTCACAGTCCCTACCCCTAACCTCCCCTGTGACCCCCTGACCTCACCCACCTGCCCCCCGACTCCGGTGTACCCGGCCTCACCTTGCCGTTCTCGGTCTCGACGGTCACCTTCTCCCCATCCCGGCTGACGATCTTGCCCTTGACGAACTCCTCCTTGTCGTCGGACACGAAACACTCGCTGCGGAGGTCGAAGATCCGGGTCTGCGCCTCCAGGCGCTCCTTGTCCGACTTCCGCAGGTAGGGGGCAGCCGCCCCGAACTCGGCCATGTGGGCATCACCCATGCTGGGGTGGGGGGAGGAGGGAGAGAGCTGGGCAGTGAGAGTGCCCCCTCCCCTGGTGGGCACCCCCCTGCACCATCAGGGGGGCCAACACCCCAGAGATAGTGCCCCCTGCTGTTCCCCCCCCCCACTCCCAGCCCTGGGAACCCCCCTGTGCTGCCAGTGCCCCCCACGTCCTGGGCAGAGCGCCCCCTGCTGTCCGGTCCCTCCTCCCAGCCCTGGGGTCCCCCCCCCCTGCCCCACCTAAATTCCCCACCCCTTCTGTGTGTGTGAGAGACTCACCTAATTAGAGTTTCACAGGAGAGATTGGAAAGACCTGGTGGGGGGGGGGAAGAGAGAAAGAGATGGGGGGCAGTTTAGAGTCACCCAAGCCCCCTCCTCAAATCCCCTGCCCATCCCCCCACCCTCTCTCCACAGCCCCTCTCCCCTTCTTCCCCCAACCCTGCACTCCCTCCCTCCCCAGCCCCCCACCCTGCCTCTCCCCCAACCCCCAACAATCCCCCCATCCCCCCACCCTGCCTCTCCCCCAACCCCCAACAATCCCCCCATCCCCCCACCCTGCCTCTCCCCCAACCCCCAACAATCCCCCCTCCCCCCTCCTGCACCCTGCCTAACCCCTTCCCACCTCCCGCCCCGAGCCCCCCACTCCCTCAACACAGTGTCCCCCCGCTACCTCCCAGCCCCAGCTACCCCCACCCCAACCTCCCCCTCCC